TTACATTGCGCAGACCTCATTAGTTTTACACTCAAATCTGGTCATATTAATTTTCTGATTTGCATAATTAGTTTTCAGCTAAGTAATTTCGAATTATATTTAATGTGTTTCCAATACTCAGCACATGGGAGTTCTTTCTAAGCTTTCTTTGATTTCTTTCTGCAGTTAACTTTTGGTATGACATGGAGTATGATATCAAGTACAATTATTTCAAATTCATGGAAAATATTATTAATTTAAAGAAAGGTACAAAAAGCTGACATCGAAGACTTAATGCTTTACTTACTATCAGCAAATCATTACACCATCGTATAATTTCACTGAAACATTATTTAAAACAATATTGCCAGTGCAATGCCACATTACAATTTTGAATTTTAGTCAAAGAATAAAGCAAATTACTTTGCTCATCTTTGAGTGTGGATTTTATAAAAGAAGGCAGCCCTTTGTGAAAATAAATAAGACAACGAGAATACACAATATTTTATTGTTTTTATTACTCATGGTAATTTTTCACACAATTGAACTAGATCAATAAATTTCTTGACTAAAATCCATCAATAATTTGCAGTTTAAATTTAAGCATGTCTTTATTTATTGATAAGTGTTGAACATGAATGCCATGTGGGCAGTAACAATAAATCATATTTGTTTTATTAGAAGAACACATAACATTTATTGTGTGCTTGATCATCAAAATAGGACTTAAGTTGACCATGGAAACTTTATGCAAATGTATACACTACTAACAGAACAAATATATTCAGAACTTTCAGTAGCCAGACATGTAGGCGTGATTAGGCCCTTGCCAGTCGAATGGCATTAGACCTTACTAACGCCTGACAGAATAGTGCATGTCTCGTCGGCAAGATCAATACTGCAAATTCGCAAAGTTCACACCTTCTTGTAACAAGTTTCAATTAATGTTCATATTGGTGGTCATGGTAGCAGTCATTCAAAGCCATGTTTGTATTGTCAGTAAAAAGCAGACTTTTTCAACAAGATGATAAACATTGGGCGGAAATTTGTCAAATAAACTCTTTGATGGCTGTAAATATCTGACATTCCTGCACTTTGATTGGTACCGACAAAAAATCATTGGGGAATTGAAAAACTACATCGTTCTGTCAGACGTGTATTGGGTTTGGAGCACCACCGAGGGTGCGACCTTGTCAAGCTAAACTTTCAGTGACATCTACAGCCATTCACTATCCAAGTTATTGTCAGTGCCCATTTAAATATTAAGATACAAATGCATGTGTGGCATTCAATTAACTTCTAAGTGATTGAATTTATTTTATTCAATGATAGCAAGTCTTCTGCAGAGTTGACTGTATTTGACTACTTTGCATTAGCAGCTGTAGTTCTCGTAAAAAAAAAAAAAAACATTCAAATTTTGTGTTGGACCCAAAGCTGAACATGACAGTGCCAGGGATGTAAAGTAGTTATCAGTTAAACATCACAAGATTCAAACATTTAAATAGATTAAAGTTATCTACATTGCCTAATTATTTACATAATAAAATGTTCATTGCACAATTTTTACCCTTTCTCACTCACTCTTTCTACACTGAAATACCTCAGCAGATTAAATATTTTCTTGTCAGCAATAAATCCATAAACACATCATGGAAGTTGCACGTCAACAGAAGCCAATGCAGCATAACACTCAACCCCAACTATTGAAGTTAAGCACAAGTGATATTACGCACTTGTCAGGTAGTGCAATTTGCTGCTGGTGACAAATGTAACAAAGGCCAAAGCAGATCTCTGCAAAACAAGTTCTAAAAACTGACATCTAAAACATCTTACAAATATTTAAAAAAAAAAAGTTTTTTCTTTTTGGAAAGTTGTAAGCAAATCAATTTGTTCCTTTGTACAATCAAGCTTAATCAACTCAAATAAGATGCACATTTAAATGAACCATTGATTTATAAAACTAATAAACTGAAAATGAATACTGGTCAAAAAAATCACGAGTCTTTGACCTTTGAAGTTATAGGAAGTTAAACAATAACTCAAATGGTCCTAAGGCTTATGACCCCTCAGGTCACACATCCTGGTACTCTCCTGGCGAATTGTCACAGCAATTTTTTTGACCCCCCTGAAAGTACCAGGATGAGTGACCTTGAAAACATGTATTATATATACATCAAAAGACAAGTCATTTTTCATAATTATCAACTATAGTTGTTCAGACTAAATCATAAGTACACCTGTATTATTTACAGACATTGATAGATTTGTGGCAGTATTCAGTGAAGATCATCTAAAATGTATTTAGCTCAGCGCTGTCAGATCGCCGTGCCTACAGAAATAATGAGAAGAAAACAAACATTTAAAATAGCAATAAAATAATCATATTAAGATATTTAAGAAATATAGGAAAGGCTAACACTTTCAAGAAACCAGGCTGCAAAACCAAGCAGCATGGCATGGTCCCATATAGACTCAATTTACAGTCTCTGTCTGTGTACATATAGACCGCTACATGTAGTTGCCTGTTTGTTATTATACACAGGAGCACAGAATCGAGAAACTTCGCAATACTGAGTTAAACTAATACATGTATATATTTTAGAATGGTGAGTTGTTTATCCCTGCTGTGTACAACCAGCCAATCATAGTCATTTTAGCTATCTTTCATCAAACAATTAATTGCATTATATATTTTCACATCTCTGAATGATTAATGAACACTGCAAAAGTTTCCCCAGTCTCTCTAGGCAACTGGCGAGCTGAGTCCGAGCAACAGTAGCACAACGGAACGTGACTGAAACCGAGTCTAGGTCCCATACAAGTAAAGCAAGATAAATATGCATTATTTTTAATTAGATCTACCCAATCATCATTCTACTGCCAATTAACTATTTATGTGGAAGATAGAATGTCATTAGCACCTATTTTGTTTGCAAAAGCATACGTATTAAGGTTAATGTTAAGGTGTGAGATGTGAATACCTAGCGATTATATAGATCCAGTCACCAACCGAGAGCAAACATGAATACTGTAAAAAGAAGAAACTTGCACAGCCAATACAATATTTAGATTTAGTGTGTAAAGTTGTGTGGAGCAAACTTATTATGACAAAATGGTTAGCTATACATATGTATATTGCAAACTTTAATGGTAAATTTGTTGAGGCAATCTACTTTAAGGCAATTTATCTTTATTTCACATGTTAGGCATAAAATTCTGATTCATAATCTGATGTATATTTATATATGGTTATATAGAATCCATATTATAACAATCATGTATGATCCACATATGCATATTGGATGAAGAGTTGATTCCGTGCAAGCCACTAGACTAGAGGTTCACAGTATCAAACGTAACTCAATTCTTCATTCAATATGGCACTGGAGTTCATTATTATGATATACTCTTAGTAAGAGTTTGGTGTTTAATCCACGATGGTTTGTATTATGCCCTAAACCCTGGAACAAGTATACACATAGTGCTGAAACATGCAGACGAACTTCATGTAATGCAATGTCCAAACATGGACAATGGTATGTCCTAATCACAGGAAGTGATTACATCACATGCACCTAATCCTAGTTGGTGTAGCAAATACCAATCGACAATACATTTTCAGCCAAGGTGATGGCTGAATAAAAAAACCTTGACTGGCGAAGATCACAACATGTTGAGATAAAATTACACCAGCATGTGGAAACTGATTATTTTTAAAATGTGAAGCTTGGTGGAAATGTGTCTGAAATGCAGACCAAGAACTCCCTGCATTAGTTACTGAATGACATGCTAGTCCATGGTTCTAAATCTCATAGTTTTTCCACATTTGTTTATGATATAGCTGATATGCAATACAACACTGATAAATAAAAAAAAATGTGTAAAGAAATCATTTAACATGCATTTTTTTATCCAAATTCTTTCTAAATAAAGGTGTCTTCTCAGTTTCATTGTTTTAACCCTATAAAATATGACTTTTTATCTCATTATACTGAGTGGCACTTACCCTCCTGTCACCACAACTAATATGCTACAGCCTACAAACTTATAAAACCCTTAACAACATGCAATCATGCTTGTTATAACAGGATCCATGTTTAAGTGCACGTTGGAAATAACATAAATATGTACCGATTATAGGTTACCTGGGCCAAGGCAGGTTCCCTGATACAGTAAAAATAATGACAACAAATTATAGCGATTATTACACAATAAATAAGTGTCAGTTCAT